ATGGGCAGCTAGACCAGGGTGCTGAGGATCACTTCCAACTGAATTTTGAGTATCTCCAAGAACTGAGACTCCACAACCTCTCCTGACAACCTGACACTCTCACAGTAAAAAAGCTTTTTCTTATATTCACACCATCCTCTAGCATGGGAGAAACCGCTTCCTAGTTCAGTCCATCCCAACTGGTCTGTCCATTGGGTAAGGAATGATGCCAGTAACAGGTCTCCTTGGTATGCAGGTCATCTCCGCTAGCCTGGAGAACGGTGCCAGACTGTCTGGGTCACGACTCCACAGGCTGCAGACTGCAGGTGATCTCGAGTCCAGGCTAGCTCAGAGATGTGCAACAACTGCAGGCAGCTGCCTTAACTTACAAAGAATGATCTGTGGTTAGAGCAGGCTCTGGATGCCAGGCTGATGGCAAGTCCTTCCTCAAGGATTGCACTGCCCAGTGGCACAACTGGAAGATGGAAAGCACGGGAGCTGAGGGGACAAACATCACATGGCAAGCACAACCTTTCAGGTTCACTGAAAGGCAAACGGAATTCATTAGCTAATCAAGTGGGTCAGAGACATGCCAGGCATTCCTTGGACGTATCCAAGCCTACATAAAAGAAAATAAATGCATTTTTGAATAACAAGTTCACAAAAGCCTTTTCTCTGTCTTTATGTCAACAGTTTATTTGCACCTGAGAAAGAGCCACCGGCAATGAACAGTGGCTTGCAAACATCAAATATTCTTCAAGTGTCAATTAAAAATGGATTAAATTAAAAATAAAACCCTAAGATAAAGCAGATGAACTGCCATTTGTAATATTTGCTTCTGAACTATTCTAACCAGTCAAGTTTTGAAAGGTTTTCTTTGCAGCAGTAATGGATCAAAGACTCCGAGCAAGCTGAAATACTGACAGCTATGTTTTATAGAAGGATCCTGGTTCAACCACACGTACAGAAGCACATGAGAGTTGTTCTTCTGTTCAGTTCTTTGCTTCAAAGCCTTTGACAGTACCTCCACCCATAGGACTTCCTCAGCCAGATAAAACCATGCCATATCCTTGGGTCACAGCACAGCTGTCAGCTACTGAATGCTCATAAATGCTTATTTAAGCATCACACACAGCACGTGCTCTGTAAGAAACTCGGCAAAAAAACAGTTTTCCCTAAACTACAGGGAAAACAAAATCCGATTTGTTAAAATTATGTTAAGAGGTCTCTCTCTGATTTAAGACTCTCTACTGCACTTGACCCCATAAAACATGACAAAAAGGGCTACTGTTCTTCCAAACAAGCAGCAACCCTCCCACCCATAGCTAACCTTGCATGTCCCATAATACTGCAATAAAGCTGTTGCTCTCCTTCTTACCCTCTCAGAGAATTTCAAACTCCAAGACCATCCCTTTGGCTGTTAAGTATTACAGACCAGGACCAATGAACTCCAGCATGTTTTGTTCATCAAGAGCTCACTCTTCTAGCTCAGAATATGGCGCAATTTATATCATCCTAATGGAAAGGAACAAGAAGAGATCTGGTAAGTGACTCTGATCTACAGGAATCATCAGGAGTTGTGAAAATGGGATGCCAAAGCCAACAATACCTGAAAATGTGACTTTTCAGTCTTTTCTTCCACAAGACAAGGGTCTGGCTATGGTGTAATGTACCCAGCCCCCTCTTTGTAGCCATAGCACTGTACTCACATATGCAAAGGGTAGAATTTAACACCAGCTTTCTGATGGAGGAAGCTGAACCACTTCAGTCTCCTCAGACTTTTCAAGTGTAGCATCTCTGCATCTTCAAGGCAGACACGGTACCTTGTCCTCCAGCTCCTCTCTACTAAGCTGAAACAGAGCACCAGCAGCAGCCAAGGGTTTAAGGCTCTTCAACGATACGATTCACCCTCTAGTGGTGACACCACACCTCCTTGCCTGCACACAAATTTGGGCAACCTCTGGCCAGGGGGTAGATTCTATCTGTCTGGATGGTGTTATGAGTACATAAAAGCCAGTACATAAATACATGGGAAAGGATCAGTGTAACATGTTCTAAAAAAGAGGAGTCCCCAGTTACAGGTGTTTACCACAACACAGGAAATCAACAAGTACATGAAACAGAACGCAAATTATTTTTAACGGGTTTTATTAAATTTACATATAAATTACATTCCTGTGTGTCATGCATGCTTGTATAGTCAGATACATTCCATTCTGCCTTGAGTGAAGGTGTTAATTCCTATGAAAATAAGGCCGAGAGCAGGTAAAGCTTGTGGCTTCATAAATAGGTGAGACTGTAGCTTGGAAGAACTACAAATCTGCTAGGCCACCTAAACCAAGTAAAACCTTTTGGCTATCGACATTGCTTCAGGTTTCCATAATCTCCTTCAGGAAACACCAGACAATGCTGACATCAGTGTGGTTTCATCAGGAGCAAGGCATTCAGGCCCATCACATTCATCCACATCAACAGTCCCAGTGGTGAGTGGTGTTCTTTCAAGCACTCTTCTTGACAGAGCCCATTTACACTGCTTCGCATCACCAAGAGGCTTCGGAGTATTTAAACTACACTGCTCCTAGAAGAAGCCAGATCAGAAGGCTTATTCCAGCTACTATCAGGAAAACTCAAAAGTCCTCAAGGCAGTCCAACATAAAGGCTCCCAAAATATCCACTATTTAGATGTCAGGTCCTCTTCAGCTCTACTCCTGGTTGCACTGTGCTGGCACTTGGTGTTAAGGTAGATCAGGTACTGGATCTCCAAGTAGATGTTCAGAACTCATAGCTCCTCAAGCAAACGATGAGTTCACAGTTTCAGCGTTGTATTGTTCCGCTTTAGAGAGCAATTTTGACCACAGGCCTTTATACAGAGCAAAATGCTTAAGGCTTTCTGATTTTGTACCCAAAATAAGCATAACCGGAAAGATCACAGATGCAAAATGAATCTTTTGGACATCTACTTAATATCTTTAGGCTTCCCCAAAATAGATATGTGTCCAAGTTACAATGAAATCCAGCAGGACGGGAAAACCATTATGCCCTATGAAAATGAAAGCCTAAAGTGCTTGGTGAAGTGGATAATGATGCTTTTCTTCATGAAGATTCAAGTTGTATTCACTGTCCTGGTAAGACAATTGCTACCAGCAAGAAAAAAAAAATAATCCTGTGTGACAATTATGTAACTTTCAAGCCTCCTTTACAAGCAATATACATCAAAGCCCTGTTCTGCTTAAGGGCCTAAAATGAGAGGGAACCAGTCTGACACTTCATACTCCATGTGCAGAAATTAAACCACCAAGGTTTTGTTTCTGAAGTGTAACATTCCACAAGGGACATTCCCCAAGGAAAAAAAAATCAGGTGTTCTTGATACGTACAAATATCAATTTTCTCTGGGCATTCAAATATCCCAGTACTTGCAGTGAGGCTCTGGAAAAGCCTGGCTCTTTGTGCAGGCAAGCAGCCAGACCAGGGAATGCATAATCAAAATACTTCTGTTAACTCAATGGATTGCTTCTCTGTTAGGCAGCATTTGCAGCAGGTTGCATAGGCCTGAGGAGGATGTCCTGATCTGTCACTGACTACATCAACTGACTTCTACTCAGCTGGGACAACACTGATCCTAAGACTGTAATCCCTGAGGGCCCATTTCCCCCAGACTGATCTTCCATGGCATGCCAAAAGTTTGCCACTTGCCTTTTCTAGCCTGATAAAAAGTTCTTGTTTGCTTTCTATGCTGGACCAAGTTGTTGCCAAGTTGTTTCTCTTCTGACCAGAAAGAGAGCAATTGAGTGGTTTGTTATTTAGTGACTAGGACCACAGCACTTGCTGTTGTCAGGATCAGTATCCACACAAAGCACTGGAAAGAGTCTGCAGATTCATTAAGGAAAGCATCCGCACCAGGGGTAAGTGTGACCTGATGATGATGTAGAAAGTGTTTGAGATTTACTTGGCAGAAGTAAACACAGGCTCCTAAAAACAGAAGAGAGATCTTTATGTAAGATTACTGGGTCAGGGAGAAGTGCTGACAGTATTTCCACTGTAGGAGAAATTATTTTTTTTTTCTCCCTGGGTGCATCTGAAAAAACATGAAATGGAGAGGTTTTGGTGTGTTTTTTTTGTTAGTGTTTTTGCAATGGTCATACTGAGATTGTTACAATCCTCCATCACGCATAAAAAGCCAAAGACTTTTATTCAGAACAATACAATCTGGAAAGTTAAAAATAGAAACCAATTCAGCCAAATGCTCTGCTATGACGACAACAGACTGGTATGAATATAAAGTGGTTTTTTAGTCTTAAGTCCAGCAATCACTCTCACAGCAAACGCTGAGGTAGGGGCTGTTCACATGAAGAGATGAGGGGGCACGTACACACTTGTTCAAAGAAGGTGGACAGAAGCTGGTGTTTTTCACTGATCCCTTTTTCAGAACAACATACCAAGGAAAAATTCTCTATTAATCTAGGTAGCAGTCCGACGTGATACGAGAAACCAGGACTTCTCTAAGCCATCTTCTGTTCTTCATTAGAGTATGCTCCCTGGAATGAGGCAGGAAAAAAGCTCAAGAAGAATTCAGAAGCACAGCAGCCTTAGAGTCAGGGGCCAAATTCCAGCTGGCCTACGGATAGATGGGGTCTTGGAAGCACACAGCAAATGGGTAGGACTGTCTTGGATGCTGGTAAACAATTGTTTGGGCTCATACACTTCGTCTGGGTATAAAAGTACAGGCCAAGACATTTGGCCACAGAGGAAAAAAAAGTCAGTATATTATATTGCATATGGACCAAGGCAGTTGCTCCTTTGGTAGAGTACTTCCTAAACGAACAGCTGCCACATGGATCAAGTCTGCTCTTCTCTGGCTGTAGGCCAAACCAGTTTCAAGTCCTAGACTACTCCAAGCTCGCTGGCACTTGCTGTATGACCACAGGCAAAGCCAGCAGCTGCTTAGAAGGGAACCACAGAGCAGAATGTGTCAGAGGAATAGCCTTACACACAGTCCACAAAACTTAACCCGCTGCAAGTTTCAGATGCCAGTTTTGGAGGCGATCCAGTTTCGATAGTAAGTCACTCGTGTATACACTCCTGGTTTATTTCGTTTGCCACATTCATCTCCCCAGCTCACTATTCCCACGAGATACCAGATTCCTCTGGAGTTCACAGTCACCAGTGGCCCACCAGAGTCCCCCTAAGGAGAAAAATGTCAGCAAGCAGGAAGAGAGTAAACAGCGTTCACCTCGCTAACACAGCAAGCCTCAAATTGTTCTGTTACAACTGACAGCTATTTGTCTCTAGACCACAGCTATAATTCAACCTACACATGATTTACAGAGCAGACAGAGGCTGACAGTCAATGTCTAATTCGGTCTCTCCCACTCCATACCCTCACATCTGCATTCTCTCACATGTGCATTCTATATAAAACCCAACCACTTAAGTGCAGACTTCAGCTCAAGAGCAACAGAGTTCTTTGTTTACATCTGTAAAGATCCTGAATGCCATCAACTTAATCAAGATCCCCCAAAGTATACATTATTTCTTGTTTCTAGGAAATAATACCTCCCACCCCACTTATTTGCTTGTTACTACTACCTATGAAGAGACTTACCTGGCAGGCATCCACCTGCCCCTCCAAGTATCCAGCACACAACATTCCAGGTGTTATTGCTCCACCATACACGTGTCTCTTATTACACACCTCAGTGCTTATAATTTTCACTTCTGCTTGTCGAAGCTGATTAACACTATAGCCTAGAAGAAAAAGCAGTGTTAGAATTTGCAGACAGGGTGTGCAACCTAAAACACACAAGGATTAGGAGCTGTCAGGTTTTCCTACAGCTCTTCTGCCATAATAGACAGTGAAGACACCTGCCCAGACAATCTTTAAGAAGAAAGTTCTTTTTTCCTCTGAAGTCCTTTACTTCTTCCCAAACATAACCCTTCTCTATCTTTCATCCACACCAGATGCTCTGTAGCATACTGGGCAAACAGATTTTTGTACTTATTTCAGTGTTGAATTCAACTGTAGGCTACAAGATGTGTCCTTCATATCACTGGAAAGACCCACTTGGTTAACAGCAATGTAGTTCTGGACAATCACTACACACTCCAAGAGTCTACCAGGGAACACAACCTATAGTTTGATGGCTCTTAAAAGCCAATTTAGTCCCATCATCTCTAATCTCACTGACATGGACTAATCCAAAAGAAGCTCATTCAAGTTTGTTTGATGAAATGAAGGCTTAATTATGTCTAAAGAGAGAAGACCTGATGAAAACTGTTGAGATACATCTATGACAGACAAAGCTGAATGGCAAAAGAACTCATGTCAGAGCTAAATCCAGGAGTGTGCCAGTGGGAACAGACAACAGAAAGCATTCAACCACTGCAGTGCATCTAGTGGTGGACTTAGGGCTGGGTTGATGGTTGGACTTGATGATCTTAAAAGGTCTTTTCCAACCAAAACCATTCTATGATTTTAAGAAAAACCTGCTTTTATTCCTGTAATGCTAACCTGTTGGGTTCCCCATCACCATGCTCCAAGCTACTGACAAAGATGGTTTGCTGCCTTTTTTTTCTTCCCAAGCCCACAAATGCATCACACATACCAGGTCTAAGGAACCCAGAACAAAGAAACAAGAAGCTATAAAACTAACAGCAGTCTTCTCAGAAAGATGTGTGACAAGGCACAGGAAGGCAAGACACTCACCATCGTTCTTCATAGCTCCCCAGCCTGTGACAAAACAGGAAGTGTTCTCTGGGAATACGTGAGTCGCTTCAGGAAGACAGACACTGTGCACATCACTCGTGAACTCAATAGGAGGGTCAAGTTCCACAACAGCCACATCGTACTCATGATCAAGGACAAAGTCGCAGTATTTTTCATGAACGATAATTTTTCGGACGCGTTTTCGCTGTTTCGGAGGTCTCAGCAGAATCCCAAAGCTGGCAGTCCATCTCCGAGGATTTCTTACTCTGAAAGATATCTGAGGTTATGTCACAGCCATACAAAACAAGATCCCCAATGGAGCTTAGCTCTCCATTTAAGCATCTAAAAGCAGAGTGGCCAGGTTTGCCTAAGGGGCAGAGCAGAGTAAAACTTCATTATCTTTCAGCAGATACAGACATTAGTGAGCCATGGAAGGTCAGAGCAGACCTGTCAGAGCACAAAGAGCCCTAAGGCCTGTAGGATTGGAAAGTTGTTGATGACTTACCCTCTAAAGCAGTGGGCTGCAGTCACTAGCCACGTGTTACTGATCACCGATGCACCACAGCGATGGGTCCCATCAAGCTGAATACTCGCCTGCCACGGCCATTCCCCATCCCGTGCACGCTGCCCACCAATTATTCTCTCCACTCCTGTGAAGGAGAATTGCTGTTTGCGTATTCCACAGCCTGTCAAAGAAAAGGCAGCTCTGCTTTAGCCAACTAAGGAAAGTCAGGATCTTGCTTTGGGAAAGGCCCACATGGCTTCACACACAGGTGTAACAGAGCAGTAGTGTCTAGAGACAGCCTTCACTAAAGCCGTGCCTCCAAGAGCAGGGGAACCAAGTGTCATGGTCACAAGCAACTCAGGATAGATGTAGGGTAAACAAGTGTCATAGAAGAGTCATTACTATTTCATTAAGCCAGTTTGCAGACACATAAGCCTATAGGTACTCCCATGGGAGCTGAAGGCTGTGTATCTGAGACACTGTTTATTTTCCCCAGCTGTTTACCCATTTAAAAAAAAACCTGCTGCCTCTCTACAAAACTTGCTTTGATATTTGACCAGAGCTGTACAGAGGGAAAGGTAACACACACACTTACCAGTTAGTGCGTCTGTGTACACAGGTACACGCACATTATTAGGCACAAAGACATGCACTGATAATTAACCTGAGCATTTACATTCATCTAGCTTTCACAATAACAGCATATAAGTTGCATCTAAAGGCAAAATCTCTTGATACTGCATAAAAAAAAACATCCTTAGTTTTTGTCTTTTAAAAAAACTTCTTAAAAATTGAGTATGAAAATACTGAGGAACCCCTGCATAAACCACCAGCACACCAGGACAGCTATACGCTTCAATGCACACACCACCAGCAAAACAGGCACAAGACAGGTACAGCACATCACCTGTGACCTCAAGTGGTGGAGGCAATCTTCCCACTATTTGTAACATCCCAGCTGTACAGCGAAGGCAAGGCCAGCAAAGCCAGCTTAGCTTCAAGAATAGTTTGCAAAAAGACAAAACCCAAACAAAAAACCCACCCAAAACTAAGCATACAAAGAAAGGATTTTGTCAGGTCACCTCCAGGTCAGCCTTGATAACAGCAACACCAACAACAAAAACATAGTGCCCTCTTCCTCCAACAGTTTACTTATAGCCACTGTGCCAACAGCACAGTCATGTATTAGCTGAAAAAGAAGTCAGTTAACTCTTAGAGTCCATTTAAAGATAGAATGCAAATGTGCAAAGGCTTCTGCAGGACACTGCATGACTGAAACCATGCTCAGGACTGATGGAGTCCCCTGGGAGAGGCCTTACATCGTATCCCTGTCTCCAGAGGAGCTTTAAGACCTCACAGGGCAGCACAGAAGAAGAAAGGAACTGAAAACCTGCCCCATTCCAAGGCTGTGCCACTGCCTTGCTCTCACTGTGGACAGCTCTTCTCCCATCCTCTGGCCCTTCCCTGTAGGCTGCTTGGTTTAGCCCAAATCTTAAAACATCTATTGCCAAATCTTGCTGCAGGGCAGAGGAAGCAGGAAGATGTTTTTGGAAGGATTCCAGCAAAATCTCAGCCCACAGCAACTGTAGCCCTCACGCAAAGCTCACTAACAACAACCCACCTACGCGTCCCTCCTTCCCATGACCAACATTAAAGTGTTTCCCACCACCAAGTCGGAATGCCCAGTTCTGCAAATGCCACAGAGCCAGCCTGGCTGCAACAACATCAACTGAAGCCTTCCCCAGATCATGCATTATCTACTGCTTCAGTACCTTTATCAAGTTACTTTTCAATTTGCATCTGAAAAGCCTAAGAATCTTGTAAACACAGAATTTATAGCACCACATCCCTGGACCTTCTCTATAAAGCTTTTGTACTTACAGTTGTTTAGAAGGTCGTCTCCCTTTTCCTTATTCAACTCTGAAATTAAAAGCAAACACAACACACTGAGTATCTCTCATACTGCTATGAGATCTAGAAAAGACTCCCAGCAAACAAATTAAATGTGTTTGTACCCAGCAAACAAGTTAATTGGCTTGCATTGCTGTGTGGAGTTCACAGTATGGTAAAAGGAATCATTTGCTCCATTGGAAAAGTCCAATTTTGCCTCTCTCACTGCGTAAGGCCAAAGGATAGATCTTTCTTGCCTTAGCTCAAAGCTAACAAAAAAAGCTGCAGATGACTACAAGTAAGTCCAAGGAACCCCTACAAGTGCTGAGGACTCTGCATTACATAAAAGCCCATATGCATTTGTTCAGGTTTAGTATAGCAGGGTGGTCAAAATAGTCTTCACAAATCCTCTGTACTAGGAGCTAAACTGTAACATCACTGTTTTCTTCCCTACAAAATACTCTACCACATTCTGATGATACGCAGAGACAGCAGCAGAGTCATGGGGGACAGTTACTGCCCAGAGAACCCGAGGGTTTTGTTATGACCACTTGCTACAGCAATTTGTCAAATAAGCAAAGGAAACGGCAAGGGGCGGAGAAGTCAGCAGTCTCAGCCTGGCAGCTTTTTCAGTAGCTTGAAGATTGCATATGAGCACCTGGTGATACAGGGCCCTGTCCAATTCACTGTGTGTCTTAGCAAAGTAACCTGTGAAGCCACGGTCACAAAGTTGGGCCTTTTTTTGGATCAACTGGGCAGGGGGGACAGAGACTCATTTAACAGAGTTAGGTCACACAGAAGGAGCCCCTGATGCACACAGGAGAGCTCACACTCAGATCAGTGCCAGTCTGCTTTAATTCTCTTCCTGTTACTTCATTTGGGTTGTCAATCACTGAAACAGGCTGCCCAGGGAAGTGGTAGAGTCACCATCCCTGTTGGTATTTAAAAGATGTGTAAGTGTGGCACTTAGAGACATGGCTTAGTCGTGGACTTGGCTGTTCTAGGTTAACAGCTGGACTCTATGATCTTAAAGGTCTTTTCCAACCCAAGCAATTCTATGATTCATCCCAAGGTCCTAGACAGTCAGCTGTACCACAATTTTATAAGGTAAAATAAGAAAACATTCATGGCCCATATTTGCATCCTAAAGTAAAACTTGTTACACTGAGAACAGCAAAGTATGAGGAAAAAATTCCAAGCTATGAACACAAACCTAAGGCACTTGCCTGCGACACTAAGGGTAGACAGGTCAACATTCAAGGAGTTGGAGCTTGTTGTCAGCCTTCTGCGTAACACACGGTGGACACGACCCCAGCTTGTTGTCTTACTGTCAGACGAGGCAAATTTAAATACCAGAACAACAGATGCAAGCACTCCAGCAGGATCTGGGCTGCAAACCAATAAAAACAAAGTGATGTCATTCTCTCTTTGCTCCCTAATCCTCTTTGTTCTTCTTTGCACCATCTGCCTTCCTCATACGAGAACAGGTCTGGTCTTCACAGATGCACAGAACAATTGGCATAGTTATGCTCAAGCAGAGGAAGATAACTACATAGGTCAGCAGGCAGCAAAAGGCTTGGTTCTTGCTATAGCAAGGGTCAGAGGCAATCTTCTAGGAGCTGTTATAAACAGCACAGCTGAGGAGGAGATGGAGAGATCACTCCCTTTGGTCTCCATGCAGCTCAGTCAGTAAGACACAAAAAGCAGCAGGAACAATGCAGTAAGTTAAAACCCTTCAATAGATACCCAACAAGACATTCCTAACAGCCATTCAAATGACCCACTTTAGAGCCACAAAAGTTAGAACTGTTTTTTGTCATTTCTTTCTATTTAAGTCACTTCTCTGCTTATTGGCCAGTTGGCTCCACTGGACCTAGAAACAAAAATCTCAATTGTTCAAGCAATCAAAGCAAGGCATGGTCACTTACTGCCAGTATAAAACATGGGGTCCAGTACTTTAGACTCATAGTCTAAAAGAAAACCAACTGAAGCCTGGAGGAAAAGACAGCAGAGACACAGCTAAGCTGACCCAGCACTCAGTTACACAGGAAGGCATCTGTAGCAAAAAGAAGCTTGGAAGAGACACACTGTTGGGTCAACGTAAGAGGTTTGAAGAGGTGGCTTGAAGCCTAGTTCCCAACTTCTGTAATTTCAGTTGATGCACAATATGGGTGGCTCAAGGAAGAAACCAGCAGCAGAAAAGAATGTAGAACAGCTTAAGGAAGTGACTCATTCCATCTAGAGAGAGGTAAATGCAGGAGTGCCCAGAAGTGCTGTGAAGAAGAGCAGTTGTGGCAAGTCTGCCATTCTTTGCTGTCTAAGGGAAAATATTCCACAGAACTGAGCCTTACAACTCCAAACCAAAGTAATGTGAAGGAGAGGGAAGCAATGACTTATCAATGAGCGATATGTAATTTCTGCATAGAGAAGACTTAAAAGCTCTCACAGGACCTTTGTGCCCACGTCCCACTTGCTTCCTTCCCTCAACTCAATGGTATCTCATAATGGAATCATTTTTTCCTTCAGACATTTTCAGAGAGGGAGAACAGTCACCTCCTGCCATACACTATGCAGAGGAGTAAGCACCAGCCTGAGCTTGCACAGGAAGCACTACCCAGGCATACTCCATATGGCCAAGGGGTAAGAATAAAGGGCATTTATCACATCCCTGCTTATTCCTGACCTTCACATTACTTACCTTAGACTGACAACATGGCACTTGATGTACCTTTTACTTAGGAAAGATCCCTTGAATACTTCAGATACCTGTTGAAGGAAAAGAGTGCATTAAAATATACCTCTAACATGTTCACACTCATGTATCTCATACTCAAGATACAGCACTCTCATGAGCCTCTGAAACACAAGAAAATGCCTTCAAGTCTCCATCTGTACACAAAAGCTACCACTAAATTTCCATCAGAGGTTGCAGAACTGAAGTGGTCAGCTGAGTAGGCACATTTTACTGTCTCTTCTGCTCTGCGGGTGCCTATTACACCACAGGGCTGCTGGAACAGACAGCATCTGTGCTTACCTTCTGTTTGCAGACAGCCAGCAAGGCATCTCTAACCCACTACAGCAAACTTTGAAATGTAAGCGGCCAGTTGCATAAAGACGAGGTGCCAACAACTGCAGGACTCTTCACCATAGGTAACACAGAGAAAGAGCTTACCATGGTTTCAATCTCTTGGCTCAGGTCTCTGAACTCTTCTGTTGTTTGCCTTTCATACTGACTTTTGTAGTCAACGTTGGTGATTAGGAACGATGCATTGTAATATCGGTCCTGATCTACAGAAAAGAAAAGGAAAGGTTGCTGATCTCCTTCAGTACAATTCAGGTGAATGGCAGAGAGGGGCTCCATAATGCAGAGCTAGAAAAAAAGCAAAGATAAGCTCTGTTCAAAACCAGGCTTACCATGCATAGCTTGAACGTTAGACACACCACCCCTGGCTTACACAGAAGACTGAAGTCTTAGACAAAAGTGGTGCACTTACCACGGCACAAAAAAAACGTAATCAAACCAATGATGAGGGCTGCGCCTGCAATCGCTGACACAACGATGACTGCTATCTTCCATGGCTCTAGACCCGTCCTCCCTCTGTCCATCAATACCTGCATTGAAGAAGACAATGTGGAGAAACATGGAAAGCAACATGGAAAAGAAGATGGAGAAATTCAACTCTATTACAAAGACAACAGCACATCCTGAGCCAAATCATACCTGGCACAGTTTAGCTCTGCTGACAAACCTCACAGAATGAGGTAGACTGGGAAGGACCTCTGGGCCTTGTAGGTCTGACCTGCTCAACCCAGGTTCCACCAGAGAAGGTTTCTCCAGGCTTTGTCCAGTCAAGTTTTTAGTATTTCCAAGAACAAAGAACCCCCAAGACTCTCAGCAGTCCAGGTCCAGTCACTGACCACCCTCATGGCAAAAGCTTCTTCTGTATATTTAGTCAGAATTTCCTGTGTACTAACTTGCCTCTGTTGCCTGACATGCACCCCTGAGAAAAGCCTAGAGTTGTGCACGTATTGCTGGTAGAGACAATTTCCCCATCGAGAAATGCTGCAGATTTCAAGTGCAGCTGACTGCCCATGTGGGTGCTTAAACTGAACACAAATTTAATAATCCACAACTGATGAAGTAATTTCTGCACCAAGGATACTCTAGGCTACCAGCAACACTGTAACACACAGCTTGGAGTTATTTTTAGTTGGTATGAGCAGTAACATTTATTGATCCCCTACAGGGTTTGGGTTTTATTGCACCAAAACCACACATACATTGTAAGAGACCTGCAGTCTACCCAGGGGAGAGAAATAGCTACTCATACGTAAACACGATATGGCAACAAGATCCAGACTTAGTGACTCGCTGAATGCCAACAGCAGACCTGTAAAAGGGTTGGGAACTTGACTCACACACAGACAAAAGCACATAAGCCTTTCTCCTCCACTTACATCCTCCTGTGCAGCATTAAGCAAGAGAACATTAGGAAAACTGCATTTTTGCGCATGTCCTCAGTGGCTTTGTTGTAGAGTGATGCAAAGCCTTAAGCGCAATTATTTCAGATCCCCAGTAATTCCACAGCGCTGTGTAGTAATTGTTGTCATGCCACGCACTGAGTCTCTGCATCACAGCTGGTATTTAGTACAGGGTATAAGGAAAACACACAAGATAGTCCCTTAAAGATCCCTGGAGTGACAAGAGGCAGCACCCAGCTCTAGGGTGGAAGAACTCAGCTGGGTAGTCACCATGCGGTTTTACACCCACTGATCCATGTTTGTGTTGCTGTGGACCATACATACACCAAATGCTATTTTCCCCTTCTCAGGCCTACAGCACAGCCATTTCTGAGCAACGTCTGAGAAAAGAAGGAAAGGAAAGGGCAGAAAGGCAGGCAGAGAGAGCAAGGCTTTGCAGGTTTCCTGACTAAAGAGGGGCAAGAAAGACAGTACAGGGCCAGTAGAGATGAGCAAGCAGAGCAGGGTAACAGCAGAGACTCCATCTTAGACAAGCTGAAAAGGCAGATCAGCAGTGAAGGCAAAGGTGTGACACAAACCCAAGACAGCAAAAGGCCAGGAAAGCGGTGGGAGAGCAGAGTGGGATTTCACACTCTGCCCTGAGGGCAAGAGAGCTAAGCAAGCTACAAGGAAGAGTTGGCATGCCAAGCAAACCAGAGGAAAAAAATGAAAATAAAGCCACAGAGGAAGCAGCTGAGAGGTCTGTAGACAGCAAGGGTGTGCTCAGCAAGTAACACGGACATTGGAAGCAACTCAGAGTTTAATAACCTCACATAAGAGCTTGTTTTTGGCTAGTGAGAGTGCTGGCAGGTATCCCAGTCCATTGCTTAAGAAGAGAAGCAGGCAAGTTTTTATTCAGTCATACTGGTGGCACACTGGTAAAAAGTTAAACAGGGTAGCCTCAGCCAGCACAACTGCAGGTGCTCACAGACAGCAGCACAGTGTTACCAAAATACACAGGACAGGTGACCAGGATCAAGCCTTCTGCTTCAGAGTCACACACTACAGAGAAGCCTGATACTTTTCCTTCTGTTGTACTTGTTTTTTAGGGGCAAAGTTATATTTTGGCAACACGCAGTCCAAGTTTTCCCCAAATCTAGCTGTCTCCCTACTACAGTGGCTCAGTTCCCTGATGGCAAAGCAGACTGTGGAGCAGCTGGAAAGCCCAGGCTGGACAAGATTACTTTACTTGGAAACTGCAAGTTGCAGTGAGCACTTAATATACAGACATTAGAGCTAAAGTGATCCACAGAGGCCTTAACGTCTGGCCACCTAGACCTTCACTGTATACACTATACGTTACTCCTGAAGGTTGAACAAATGCATTTTTTTTTGAACAAAAACCTAAGACCAGTAGGACTGTCCTGTCAGACTGTCCTGTCTCAGTTTCTTTAACATGCTACAGCCTCCCCTGGAGCATCCTCATCTCACAGCTTGTGATCTCTCACAGTCCCACCTCACAGGATCACTACATACTTCATGTGCAGCCAATTACTGCCCTTGAGGGCAAGCCCTCTGGCTAACTAGAACAGCCCACTAGGGCAGTATGCCTCTGCCCTTCCTTGGCTAGGCCACTGCTCAGGTTTTTAAAGATGCTGCTTTAGCATCTGACTTTGATGTCCTCACTGTAGAGAGTTTACTCTCTGCCCTGAGCCCCTACCAACAAACTCAGACTGGTTTCCTGTGCTTCAGCTGCTCCCATCCCAGTGTGCTTCCACCTGACAGTCAACCAGAGCAATATCCCTCCATTGCTCTTGACACAAAGGACATGTGGCACAGCCCTGACAGTGTATGTGACAGCATATAGCTGGCACTGCAGAGACTGAGGCAACAGCTACTGTCATTTCATAACCACCAGCTTTCTTGAACTGTATACAGACAGATTTCCTCAAGACATAGCCTTATGCCTAAGCTACAAAAGCTTAAGACTCACACTTGAGAAACGAGTGTCTCACTGCCTGTGGAACTTGTGCTCTGACAGGCAGCACTGTCCTGCACTTCAATGTCTCTATTTCCTTTATGTGCAAATATCAGCTACCGGGACAAACACTGGCTGTACAGATATTTGCCCCCAGCATTTCAGAACTGCTTGCTCTCCACAGGTCACACAGACCTGCAAGGGGAAACAGATACCTTAAGAACTGCTGCAGTGCTGGGAGAAAGGGAAATGAGAGCCAAGAAATAAAAACCTCCTCCACTTCTGGTACTGATCTCACTTTAAAATTAAGAAAACAGTTGAAAGGAAGCAATTCCATTAATCTAAATAATTTGTATATAGGCCATACAGATTAAAGTGGAAACATCTCTTCAAACTAACTAGTTTCCTCCCTTGAGCTGGATGCTCTCGACTTTAATCTTGCTACAGTAAGTATCAGAACAGGAAAAATCTCTCCTGCAATGGAAGCACCAAATCTCATCACTTCCCGCAGTCTACAATTGTCACGCTGTATCCTTCAGCTGTGACACCTGAATGCAGGACCCATCTCAGCAGCCCCCACCTTTTTTGTCTACTTCATCTGCAGACATGCTAGTCACCAGCTGCGCTGAAGGGCTGGGAAAGAAAAAACAAACCTTGTTTTTAGCTTTTTAGGAAATAGCTGATCTTTTGCTACATGTTTCAGGAATGAAAATAAGTACAGGGAACAGATAGTCTTGTTTGACCCACGAGCAGCTTGAATACAGGCAACACCAAGTGTTTACTGTTTGTATTAGAGCAGCATATATATCCAGTAGGGCCCATGAGTTCTAGCCCTCAACTCTGTCCTGCTAGGAGCTGTATACACACACACACTCCCAAAAAAAAAGCACTCACAACTAAGTCTGGTTTTGAGCCTGGCTCAGCTGAGACCTACAGGGATGTTTAGTGAAAGATAGTTCTTGTCCAGGTTATGTCCAGTCATCATCACACGTATTATACCTCCAACCAGCTTCTTTGCTCCTCTGGCCTTTTGGCTAATATGCCATGGAAGGCAGGATTGTTGTGCTTTACCAGAATAACCACCCGACAGGGACTCCTGTGCCTGGGACATCCAACACAGTGGTTAAATAGTTCAGTGGCAGGTTGCTCCCCCTGTTTAGGAATCAGACTTCTGCACGGTCTTATCTGCACTCTAGTAACTGAGAAATCTCCACTCCACCCAGCAACACTCCCTGGCCAGAGAAACACTGATCCTCTGTTACGCTGATGAAAGCAGAGGTACAGATCATCTCATTGCCTTCAACGATAGATGTATCCTTTCTTTCTTCTTGTGGCACAGCTTAACAGATGGGCCTTCTCCTTGAAAGACTCCCCAGTACCACAGCTGTCTGTGTAGACATCTTCCAGAATCAGGCATTTTGTACAGCCTCACATTTTTTGCTTCCTTATACCACATGCTATGATTTTTTTTTTATTGCCCAAACTCCAGTAAGCTACAAATTAACTCAGGAGAGCAGACAGAGGAATTCAGCTAACACTGATGCATTTGTCCTTCAGCATGGATGAGGACAGCCCTCATTTCTCCAGAGCAAACCTTAACAAGAGATCAGAAACAAGACTCTACTGGGAGACCTCTCTGCTCAGAAAACCACCTCCTTCTGAGTCTTTGGCAGCTTTCAGTCTGCAACAAATTAGTGACGACTTTCAAACTCAAAATCTTTTAGTTTAGTACAAAACTGCTTATCTTGGCAATATGATGGATGAACATTAGATCTCCTCCAGCAATCTCTGTTCTCATTTAAAATTCCCTTCATTCCCAAGGGACCCAAGACAATCCATGGAGATAGCAGCATCTACCATTTCCTATCACAGATCGTTTGGGTCTGGAAATGCAAACTGTAAGTCTCCTAGCTTACGTGCCTTGGCTGAGCCAAAGAATGCATTTTGATCACTAATAAGTTATTCCATACCAGAAAAAAAATCTGAATTAACTATTTCAGAAATAACTTAATTCCATACAAACAGTTACTTTAAACACAACAGAAGAGAGATATATTAAATCAAGACTCAATACCTGATATTTTAATAAGTGAAATACAGAAAAAATAAAGCTGCATTAAAAGTTATATCAGCACATTAGGAAGAAGAGCTGTACTGAAATTTTAACAGAGCTAAAATTGTTTAATCTTCCACATGAAACCAACAAGAGAACAGTGAGGATTTCAGGTTGGGTTTCTGATCAATCCCAAATGCATTCTTTACCTTGTGGAACATTTACCTAAAAGCAGAAGACAAGCACAATACACAGGCGACAAGCTGATTTCCTCTCTCGCCCTGTACCAAACTCCCTAAAGATTACTACGTTCATTCACAAAGCAAACAATGAAAATTCAGGCTCCCACCTCTGCCTGACAGAATTTGGTTCCCTATATTGAGATTATCCATTTCTTCTGGTCGAGCAGCTGTGCATTATCAAAAGCCTCAGAAACATGACCATCAGAAAACTGATCAGAAATATGTCTGTTCAGAAAAGGAAAGGAAATGAAACTTAGTTACCCATGTCCTAGGAAAAGGCCCCAGTCATTGAGCTGCTGGGTAAGCAGGAAAACAATAATCCTGTTCAGCTTGAAGAAACTTCCCTTGACTTTTTTGACTTATTAAGCTAAACCCTCTTAGCACCCTGACCTAGATTTGCTTTTAGATTAACCTAAACCACATTTTCTGGGAGCACCAGCTACTCAAAGTGATTTGTCATACTCTACATTAGCAGAAGGGAAGAGGCTACAAGTTTTCTTCTATCTGAAATGCTGATGTCTTCCTATAATAAAGTTATTGTACTGCTTATCATTAATCCCCTGCACAGCAATACTGCAATAGTGTCAGAAGAGCCAGCGGCAGAGCTTGGGTGGCACATCTGCTAATTATGTCTCTCCACGCTTATAGCCATGACCAGTTTTCCATTCAAAGATGAATTCAAGCACATCTTACAACTGCATTTCCTAGAAATGGGACCTTTCACAAGACAACTGAGCAGACTGGCCTGGGGAGTGCCATTTGAAAATCCAAACTAGGTTCCTGAAGCTATCTCCCTTGGCAGAGTGGTTGGGAATGGCAGCAGCTGGAGTACACCTGGCTTACCCTAGGAGTGGGTACAAGCACAGAGAACAGAGCTACAAAGCAAGGCACACAAATTCCACTCCCACCTTTGCCACAGGCCATCACACCAACCTAATGCTTCTCCTCCATCTGGGCAGCATAACCACTACACATACACGGAAAAGAATGGGACAACATCCTCTACTACTTTGGGCATTGAAACCAAAGCGGTCAGTGCCTGTCTCAGTGCTGCAAGACCCTTGTTTGGATGAGGTCAGTTACCTACCAGCCTCAATCACTCAGTGGTCGGTATCTCCCAAAGCAGTTCTGATAGAATGGAAGACTTCCAAACATTGGAGGTATCTGCTGAGGGAAACAAAACGTGTGTGTTCTTCTATGCGTCACACTGAATCAGGCTGATCTCCCCACACCCTCGAACATCCCACAAAAACAGTAGGTGCTGCATGCCACCCCTCTGCAGTCAGATAAAGCATCACTAATGTACTTGCCATTTACTAATTGAGCTCCTCCCCTTAACCATCATCCAACTCTACTGAGGTTTCTCTGCTTCCCAGGAGCACACTTCAGCTGGCCAAAGACAACAGCTCCAAATACCATTCTTGTGATTTGCAGCAACATTCAAGGGTAGCATTCACTCTTCAGGATATCTTAAGTCAAAGTCTACCAATAACTGTATCTATAACCCCAAAATGCTGCTCATACAAACTTCCCCGATTATTTGATCGCCTTTACAATCAGCACAGCATGACTGCTGTTCCTTACTCTCATCTATTTTCAGGATCCTCCTTTTCAGAGGTTGTAAGCTCTTGAATTGCTGGGACAGAGTTTGCCTCCAGTGTTACTACAACAGTCTGTGGGACGTAATTCTAAGGTCAACAACTAAAATAACCTCGATCAATAATGCATCTTTCTGCGGTAGACTGCCACAGCCAGCAACTTGAGAAAGAATCCCATGATTTGTAAGAAGTTTTAGTGCTACTCACTACTTAAGGACTTTATAACCTGCATAGACACGTGAGAGGCCATCCCAGTATAAGGGAATTAAGTACATGTCCATGGATTGCAGCCAGTTTAGGAAAAGATTCTGCAACTTCCTCATCTTCCACCCCTCAGATTTCCACTTCCAGCTGCACTTGTCATATCTCACGTATCAAGTACCTCATTGTTAGTTTGGCAGTGCCACAATATAGCAGTAGGTCTCTGCTTTCCAGCCTTCGAAAGCAGCTCTGCCTGCCTCCCTTTCCTCCCCCTTGGACAGGCTGAAGTCTACTCCAGACATGAGATACCAGACAAGCAGTTACAGTCTCTGTGGTTTCTCAGTCTGATTTTCATTCCAAGGCAGGGTGGGTGAAGTGGTCTGGTGACAGATTTCATGTGTTTCCAAGCTGATTCTGCACAGATTAACACTTCACTGACTGCCTACAAAGCCCACAAAAATAAACAAGAACACAAGAAGCTACTTTTTCTACTTTACTCCATTGACCCCCTTGTACCACAGCGTTAGCTCAGCAGTTGTGACCATAACACATTCTAAACATAAGAACATAAAGGGCAGATCAGAGTCAGGGTACAGTGAGAAGACTCTCACCTGCCCCGCTTCACCCCCTGCCAGACCCTCGGAGACCAGAAATCAGCTTGATCTGCCACCATACCACACTGTAGAGGAGCCAAAGAATTCTTGGAAAACAAATACATTTTGGGTGAAGAGAATGGGGGGGAGTATCAGAAAGATGACTGATGCGTGGAAGGCAGCTCAAATCAGAGGTAAAGTCAGAGCTAGTGCCGTTCTCCCCACACTCTGTCAAAGCTCAGAAACTGCCCTAGAAATCTACCCATGATACAGCCATGCTGCCCAAACTCCCAAGTAGCAAGTCCAAAGGCTGTGGCACTCACCTCTGGGTACCACTGAGAGGTCACCAAGAAGCTCTTCTGTCTGGGAGATGCACTGTTCCGAATGCCACAACGCAGTGTGCAGCATCTCAGTATAGACTTGAGGCTTTATCTCCCGAATTAGGAAAGAAAGGAGTCATAGGCAAGTCAGAACAAACAAGTCCAGCAAGTCTCAGTGACAGAGGCTTACCCAGTAGCATGATTCCTCCCCTAAAACAATAACAGTACACTTCTTTCATCACACCTTTCATCCAGGAATCCCAAAGCCTTTTCAGAGCATTAACTACACCCTGCAACACCCCAAATCAGAACAGCCATGAAAAATTTTGCAAGGACGCAGAGTTTATTTCCTTCTTTGATATAATTAAAACCAAATCAGAAGTTGTGGGCAGGACCCATGCAGAAAATTTGCATGTTCTAAAGAGACAGCATTCAGTCCCAGGTCAGATACAGAGCTGACATAAATTGATATAGTTTCAGGGGTATGTGCCTTTCAAATCCCTTGAGCTTCTGTTTGGCCAGACAAGAACTTGCCCCATAGTAACAGTAACATTCAAGTTTGTGATTCTTCTCCTTAGATGTCAAATTTATTTGTGGCCACCTAGCCACGCACAGTTCTGTCCTGGAAAAATTCTTTTAGGTCAAACACATTTGTGATACATTTATATGCAAAGGTTATCTAGATAAGCATGTCTACCTGTGCTAGTTACAGCGAGTTAATTGACAAGTCAATTAACACAAGCACAAACCCTCTAACCTCAGGTAGCATTTCTCAATCTTTTCTTGGGAAGCTTTTTTTCAATTTTCAGTTCTCAGTTCCACTCAGCTTACTGAAAGATATATATGCCCACACAACCATACACCTTACATGTTTCAGAAAGCAACAAAAGCAGAACATCACAAAACAATTAGTGTGTGTGATGGGTGGCACATATCTGCTTTGCTGCAGCAAAGTTTCTAACACCTAGGGTCTCTCTTCCTCCACCTGAATTGCCTTCATTTGACCCCTCTAACACCTCAGGGATCACCAGCTGAATAATACACTGATGCAAATACATCTTACATAGCTGGAGCCCCTCCTTCCGTCTTATATCAAGTCCACAGCCAAGTAACAGGAACATTGTCTTTCTGGAAAGGCCAGCTTCTTCTGAATGCAACATAGGCTAAAGATGATCCTCAGCTTCTCATAATTTGGATTCAGCAAAGTTGTCTCAGCATAATTTGTTATGAAACACAGTGAATACAGTTGCTAATGATGCACATCATAATTGCTTCTCAATACTTCAACCGGAAGCTGCATTGCCATCCCATACAGGAACACTTGAGTCAGTCCAGATGTGCAAGAGAAATGCAGACAGAAGCCTACCTAGAGGGTGACAACTTTCCAAGGGTAAAGCATCAAGTGTCATATGATTACCTGACCCACGTGTAGGTGGTGCAAAGACAGTCACTCCAGGCAGGCCATGATCCTCAGAGATAGAGCCCTTGTGACTTGATTATGGCAATCTCTGAACAGTTTCACCTGCAGGCAAAAAACTCATTGCTCCCTAAGCAGAGAAGATTAACTGAACAGGCATTTTTGGGCACTGGAAAGCTCTTTCAGCCCTAGTTTCATGGCAGGAAAGCCCCATACTGATTAAGGATGTAATAATCCTGGTCAGCAGTCCGCTCTCTCCACAAGGTGTCTGTGTACCTTCTTGTACTGACAATACTTCCGTGGGGCAGAAGCCCCAGGAGAGAAAAAAAGGACAGGTAATAGCCATCAGTGGTTCAGTTATCAGGCACTTAACAGGTTTGAATTCTGATTCTACTGAGTGCACAGATGTGTCTGCTAGTGCTAAAACAAGAAGCCTCAAAACACACCTGGACAAGTTGGAGAACACTGGGAAGGAGACAGGGGTTGTGGTCCAGCTGGATACCATATAAAAAGAAAGAAGAGATATTCTGGAAGAACCTATGATGCCAAAGACCAGGACTCCCATCATAACACAGCTGGCAGGGAGGCAAAGTCTCAGTGAAGTGACTAAAGCAATTAAGTAATGAAGAAAGGTTCAGATTCATTAAACTAAGCTTAATCTAGACCACCAGATTTACACATGAACTGAGAGGGAAACAGGATTCTGCACTTCACATCAGGAAGATAACACAAATTTCAAAGTAGGAGAAAGCAGACTCGTGCACACAGCATGCACTGTTCTGAATACTACGGTAGACACTGCAATCTCAAGTAAAGAACAGGATAGAAATGAAAAGTCAAGTAGTAAACAAAAGTAATTGAAAAAACCTGGTATGAACAGGATCCAGAGGCAGAAAGCCAAAACAATGCTTTTCATGTTTCACAGAATTCTCTACGATTATAATGATAGCACAGACTCAGAGCACTTTAAACATGTACACAGCAGGTATAAAGGAAGCATGGTGGTAGGAAGGCAACAGAACACGAAAATCCCAGGGAATCATTCTTTCCAATTATTTTAATTACTCTGAAGAAAAATATGAAATCTTTACACATCTTTACAACTACTGCCATGACCAATTTCAAAGACAGCAACCACACAAAAGCAGAAAAAAACCCAAAGCAGCTAGAAGGGAAACCTTAAAGAACTGTGTGTTTTCTGGAGACAGAGGGATTATTTTAAGACTTCATATTAATCTCTGAGCAAATGCATCCTGCCTTTAAAAAAGGAGCTCTGAGGCAGCCCAAAGCTAAACATAATAGTATAAAGTAAATCCCAAAATACTGGAAGAGCAAGAAAGCATACTTGAGAAAAGTTAAACAAACAAACAAACAAAATGGTTATAAACTTAGGCACATAAACTGCTTTGTGAAGCAAGGTCATATAGTCTCATTGTAATCTCTACTATATTCATAAATTGCCTGGAAAAAAGAAATACTGAGATGACAAATATCCAATGATAACTGTCTACTCATAGCAGTAAAGAGAAAAGCCAACTACAACAACACAGAATCACAGAATCTCAGGAGTTGGAAGGGACCTCTAAAGATCATCCACTCCAACCCCCCTGCCAGAGCAGGATCACCCAGACCAGGTCACACAGGAACGTGTCCAGGTTGGCCTTGAATGTGTCCAGAGAATGAGACTCCACAACTCCACTGGGCAGCCTGTTCCAGTGCTCTGTAACCCTCACAGAAAAAAAGTTTTTCCTCATGTTCACATGGAACCTCCTATGTTCCAGCTTGCACTCACTGCCCCTTGTCCTGTCATTGGACATCAGAGAGAAGAGCCTGGCTCCTTCTTCCTGACACTCGCTCTTTCCAAATTTATAAACATTAATAAGGTCAATTAATCATTAATGAGGTCAACATCCTGCAGAAACAGTGTTGAGATACTAAGTAAGAAAGCAACATATGAACTCTGGAATGAAAAATTATAAAGTTACAAACAGAGAAAAAATAGTCCTAAACTTACCTGCTAAGTGTCAGGTGTTGAGTTGGTTATTAGTTTCAAGAAAAAGATTGAGACAGCATCTCCCATGAGACTCAACTCATGAGCAGTCAAAAGATGACAAAAACACTACAAATTACTTGTAAAGAGAACAGAGAAAGAAAAAGGAAACAAACTTATACCACAACATTACACCTATATCTCAAGTGGTGTGTGAAGTTCTAGTCCATTTGCCTATCTCAAAGCCAATACAGAGGAACTGTAAAAAGTCCTGAAAGAGGCAGCACAACTGACCAAAGGAACAAGACAGCTTCTACACACAGGATGCCTAGAAGATTTTTCTGGAAGAAAAATTCCTATAGAGCTCTTAAATATGATTATTTTACCTTTGTGGTCCAAGTTCCTGACTCAAATCACTATAGGTTTAAAAACCACTCAGGAAGCACCATAATCCAAATGCTGTTCTCATCTTCCTTAGATATTCTCCCACCAAGTTCATTTAGCTGCCAGGCATGCCTTCTTAATAGTAATAACATATTATTAAACCTATGATAGAACAACTGCCAGCTTGAGATCGATGTCTTCCCCATCTGTTTCCTGAGCCAAACATGGGCTGACCCACCTAGCTAGATCAGCAGCCACAGAAAAGATGCATTGGTGTTCTCACTCTTGGTTAAGGAACCACAGAAGCCCTCTCATCAGACCAGAACAGAATAGTTCAGTTGGAAGGGTTTTATAATGATCATCTAGTCAAAACTACCAAGAATCTAAACACCATGTTTCTCAGCACTCAACAGCACATTCAGCTCAGCCTACAGAGGAAGTTTGTGTTTTGCAGCAGAGTGCATTCTTACCTATAGATTACCCTTATCTGTATGTTATCTGTATATGATGACACATCAGACTCCAGAAAGGGGCTGTAACACCCCCAGGTTAGCTAAATGGTGTTCCTCTGATCTGAGGGAGCATAATGGGACGTCACAAAAGCAACAGCATCTCACGTCTCGCACGTGACTGAAATTTGCCACTGTCTTTTTGGAAGTTAAGTTCAGACATACACTGCGATATTCCTAGATTCCCCCAAAGCTTGGCAAGTAAGCTGCAGGATACAACAGGCATTTACCTGAAGTTATGGTGGAAAATTACTTTTTCTTTCACATGTGGACACTGAGATGACATCAGTTCAGTGATCGATGAGCCAAGCATGTTCTTCATCTTTTCTCTTCCAAAAGCACCCGGTTACCAAGGCACCTGCCCAGGAAAAAAAAAGCCAATTTATTCATGACAATCCTAAATTAATTTTAGGATAGAAAACTCCCGAGTGGATTCTTGCATTTACAAAGGTTATTGCCAGCAAATCGCTTAGCTCCTTTGCTGGGACAATAGTGCTTTCTTCAAGAAAAAGTAATACCCAGTGCTGACATCCCAAATACAGCTCATGAGGCAGGCAGCAACCAGAAAGCCTTCCTGGAAAGCAAGCCCAAAGGAAACTCACACTACCTTTGTAGCCATGAGTTTAAGAGTCCAGTCCCCAATGAAGGACATTGTGACCCTTTCACAGCTGTAGTCTGCAGATGCATTTGGGAAAGAAAGGAAGGCTGCCTACAGACTGTGCAAGTTGAAATGGAAGAGTCCAGGCCTGTATAATTAAAGTCAAAGAAAGTTTGCAACGCAGCTCTGTTGTTACCCATTACAAATG